AATACAGAAACCTGAGCATTCTGCTCAGCAGAGAGCAGAGAGCTTCTCGCCTTTGAGGACACAGAGCCACAGTCCTGCAGCACCCTTCCACCTCCAAGCTCAGCTGACAGAAAAGAAAACTGAAACCAAGAAAGCGGGGAAGGCACGCTTCTTCAGCTGAACTTTGAACGAGTGGGCTTCTCTGTAGTATGTTAAAGTCTGTTCTGAAGAGTGATAAAGCAAGACAGGTTTTACACGTAAACAGGTGCATTTCATACCTTCTTCAAAACTCTGTAAACAGCACAATTTATCCCTTAACAAAGAAAGAAAGGCAAAAAAATGACCAAGTCAAATGACAAATCTAGGAGAGTAGGTAGTGTCAATTAATCCATCTTCTTTCTTTCTTTATTTCTTTAGCATTACTCTTTAAGGGGATGATCTGTACAGCAGTTTTGGATTGCCCCTTAAATTCTTGCTCTCAAAGTGTGTGTGTGGCTTTTTCCTTGCGTGCAAGGCAGTAGGTGGTCTACTAACAAAATTTACATGTTTGGATGCTTTTATAGCCATTTATTTCTGTACCTGGAAAGGTGACAAACACAAGTACTAAGGAATTTACTTTTTACATGTCCCCAAATAAGTCTGCTTATCTCCATATGTGGCTCATACACAATCTCTGTCATCTGTACCGGAGAAGTATTACCATTTCTGGACTCTTCTCCGTAATAGCAGATGGGTCTCTGGGCTGCCCCAAAGACTCTGTAAAGAATCAATGCCTTCCTCTAAAGTGTGGCAGTTATGACTTCATCTTCGATTTTGCAGTCAGCTTCAAATTGCCATGTTGTTATGAATTGGCCTCAAACACTGGAGTGCCAGGAAAACTATTGATGCGATGATTTTTGGTGGAATGGTGACATGATCAGTGAAAGGGCTAGGGATCAGACAACCCTTCTCCTGGAAGTTATTAAACTCATAATGAATGGCGATAAATGTAAGCCTTGTCTTAGTATAATGCTCCTATTTCAGCATACTGTGCTGTACTGCTGCTACTGTATAAGTATCTGAAAATGGGGTTTGATCTACAGGTTCTGTACTTGCTGGGAATGCTTTGTGTGAGCATGAGTGGACAGAAGTATCTGGGAAAGATGCTCTAGATCTGGCATTTTCTGTTGCATCTTACACTGGTTCACTTGTATTTGATGCAGGTGTTTAGTGTAGCGTGCAGTCTTGTGAGAAGGCCTCCAGCCTAAGACGTTTTGTGTTAATTATGATGAAAAAAATACCCCCACACAACTTTGTTACAATTTTGATGCTGGAAAAGGCTATAGTAGCAGTCTGTGTGTCCTTCATCTTGTAAGTCTTTTTTACTCATTCTCTGGTTGGCTTTATTCCTGGCTGCTCTTGCTTGGTCTCCCCTCCCCTAAAAAGTATACTGTGGAAAACATGAGAAAAGCAGTACTGTCTTCCTGTAAGTGTGTCTCTGGGCTATCTGCATGCTACCCAAAGAACACCCAGCTCTCAGTGCTCTTACTCAGTTGTTTAAGTGTGCCTCTGTTTTCCTATTGACCTCACGAGGAATTTCCCAGGTGAATGTAATTTTGTTTCTGAGATACAATGTGAGGTAGGGTTGGCATCACTGTCACTCGTGTTCCTTGACATGTGAATCAAAATTCTTAGTTTAAGAGAAACTTTCTTCTGGATGATATTGACTGAAAGAACACTCTTGGTGTGTGCTCAGTTCATTCTGGCTGCCTGCTCTTGCTACCGTTTAGGCTGCATGTTTTCATTCCTAGACATTACAATGCTAGAGCTCCTGCTCTAGAAGAATGCAAAGTCAAGAGCATTTGTGGTTTGCACTGCTGTTAATCAGGGATTGCAGAAGAGTTGAATGTTTTTTCCCTTCTCTCCCCAGACAGCCTGCCAGCGTTCCCCATTGCCATGGTGGCAGGGATAGTCATCGGTACGGTTACAGGTGTCCTACCGCTCATCTCTATTGTCGTGTGTCTTGTCGTGAGAAAGAACAACTCTAAAAAACGTTACTCTGGGTAAGAGATTTCCCTCCTCACCCTGAATGATGTGAGGAACAGCAGTAGGATCAGTGGGAGGGCTAGAGGGGGTAGGAATTGTTTCAGTCTTAGCAATCATGGTTAGGGATAGGACACAGCCTTGTGAAAGACTGGTCAGCTGCCTGGAATGGTTATCTTTGTACTGTGCTTAAAGAGACCTGCTGATCATGAGTTGCACCTAAAAATCACCAAATAGTGAAGTTATTTTTCAGCCCCAAGATTGTATGCCCTAAGAGCATTTAATCTGATATCTCCTAACTCCACTTTCCCTCTTGCCCCTCTTCCCCCTCCCTCCAAAAAAAACCCACCACGTGTGCAGTTTTAAGGAACGGTTCTGCTGAGATTAAGACTTGATTTTCAGTTGATAGTGTCTTGCTCCTGATCCTGATGGAGTACCATTCATCACCACTCTTCCAGTGAAGGAAGGAAGAGCCTCTCTGCATCCATTCGCATTCAGTCTGTTTTTTAGTTAATTGTTGCCATCCCTGCAAGGTTTTTCATGTTAGGAGGATGCTTCTAAAAGGAAGCACAGAGACTTCAGTGGGGATATGAGAAGTCTACAAGATCTAGCAAAGGCAGAGTTGAGTCCTGTGGTAACGGAACTTGGTGTTGCTGGTGGTGACACTTTTCACCTTCTCTCTAATTAACTGATCATTTGCTTTGGTAAGAAAGAGTGAAAATTGTTGCTTGTGTAACCTTAGAAACAAAAGCAAGATTTATAATTTTCTCTTGTTTTTTTCCCTCATCTCCCAAAACAAAACAAAACAAAACAAACTCCCCCAAAAAACAAACCCTACTCCCGGTTTCTTTGACTTTACATAAACAAACTCATGGGGATTTCTAAATTGAACTTTGCCCTGTCCTTTTGCCAGTTGGAGAGCTTAGAGAAATTGAATTGACCATTGTGCAGTGGTAAGGCTGATTTTAGTGAAGGTGGCTGTGTGTGCTCAAAACTGTGTGGAAAGCCTGGGTTTTCCTTTTTGCATGTGTCCTTCCCCCAAGAACTGACAAGAAGCTTGCAGTGTCATGCACCCATGGTGTGTGTGACAAGGTCTGCATGTCTTGCTTCTGAGTGACCTGCTTTCCAGTGCACAAGTGCTGGAGCTGAGTCAGGAGCAGTAGTTCATGCACTGTAAGTTCTTGTGGCAGATTTAACTACTCTCTCAGGAAAGTAATCTCTGAAGTTTTAATACTGCTTTCACTGACTACGCCAACTCTGCATGACCTGTTAAGAGAAACTAGATGTGCTGTGACATCCCAAACTTATGAATTTCCTTCTACGTGACACTAACCCAGTGTGCAGTGGCGGTGATGAGATGCACTTACTGTAGATAACAATTCTGCCTTGAAGTGAAGAGGGCGGGGGCACTGGGAGGTGTCTGGAACCCTTGCATGGCCACAGTCTCCGTTCATACTCTGACCTTTTTTTTTTTTTTTTCTTTCTGCCTTGGTGTACTGGGATCGGATCCTGCTTACCTTCCTCTCCTTACAGAGATCCTGATATAGACGCCAGATTGGGAATGTAACAGGGCTGGGTCTTCTCTTCCAGTCCTTCTAGACACCATGGTAACTAATCAAGTTGGTGGTTGCTGTTAATACCTGTGTGTATGTGTACACATTTCCTCGTCCCTTGCTGACTAACCAGCTGGCTTTGTGCTAACATACCTTCATTGTAATTTGTGCTGGCACCTGTTGGCAAAGGGATGATGCATTTCACTGGGTGCTTGGGTTTCATTGTCTCATGTCTGACTGGGGAGGGATTCCTCCTTGCCCCAGATGGTGTCCCTCCATCTCTTCCAGCAGCGAACTTGCCAGTGCATGGACTAGAGCACAGGAAATTCAGAGGCCTTTCCTTGCCAGAATAAAAGAAAATGTCCCATATGTATTCCTCTGGCTTGGACTGATCTGGAGTTTGAAAACTGATGTTTTGAGTGCTCTAAGTGTATTAGCTGCTTAAACCTGAATTTGACTTTTAGGTAGCATGTATCTTAGAAATTTTGTGAATAAAACAAACAATTCACAGTTAGCTCGTTTTAGTCACAGAGGGCTGCCCTGTCTCTGAGACTGAGTGGAAGGCCCTTGCTGTGATGGGTGGCTCTGCAGTACATTTTTGTCACTGCTGTAGGTTCCACGAGCTAAATCTTCTATGGTTAGACTTATTCAAAGAGTAAAATGGTTACTGTGAAGAGGTGGTCTGCAGAATGTCAGTGTCTTCATTTGTTTGTCCCTGTACTTGCTTTGTGCGCTGTCTGTCCACAGTGGTTGGGAGAAGAGAACAGTCAGTGGTCAGGGGGCTGTGGTAGCAAAGGGAACTCCTGTGTTTACTGTCAAGGAAGTGGACAGTTTTCTTCCCTGAGTGCTTGGGTAAGCGGAGGTAGAGCTAGCAGTTAAAGACAGGTTACTGCCCAGAGGCTACCGAAAATAAATGTAAGGGCATGAATGTACTCATAGGCTTATCTCTGTGGTATTCAATCTTTCTCCAGGTGCCCTGCAGGTCTTTTCAGTCCTGCTTTAGGCAGGCGGAAAAAAATGCAAGCAGAAAATGAAAAACAGTAGCCTCTTTCAGGACTGTTTGCACCACAAGACACTTTCCTGAGATTTCAGACAAGATTTGTCCTATTTAGGTATGCAAGTAGCTGTATTGAGGCATCGAGCTTACATATCACTTGTGACTCTTAACCATTCTAGAGATTAGTGTCTGTTGTACAGACACCGGGGGGACAGATTTATTTTGTCAATCTGTCCAAGCCAAAAGCAAGTGACCTAACGTGGGGTTTGGTAGGAAGTGCCTTTGTGATATGGAAAAGCTGGTGGCTCTAGAAAGTATTTGCTAAAACTGCAGCAGTGGTAAAACCTTTGCCTCAGTGATTGAGACTATTTAGCTTATATATTGTTAGCAAATAGATGCTGCTCACTGTTGAGTCTGAAGCCTTAATGAATAAAAGGCGTATGGGTTTTAGGCTGGTTTGGTTAAATAGGAATAGCTAGAGAACTTGGGTTTTGAAGAAGTTGTTTTGCTCTGTTAAGAGTTGCCTCTTCCTCCTTTTCACCAGTAAGACTCTAGGAGGAAGGATAGAGAAATAACTGGGGAGAGATGGAGAATATACGTGTTTATTCCAGAGTCCATTATGTTCACTTTTATTTTGGCATAATCTGCCACTTTCATCCTGCCATCACTCGTTTTTTTTTCTTTTTGTTTGTTTGTTTGTTTGTTGTGTTCTTTTTTTTGTTTTTGTTATGCATCTTGAACGTTGTCCTGCAAACTCTGCTCTGCCACCTCGTCAGCTGCGGTACCTCTGAGAGCTTGATGTCACCGGTTAAGCAGGCTCCACAGAAGTCACCCTCCGACACAGAGGGTCTGGTAAACAGCGTGCCCGTCAGATCACACCAGGTAAACAGCTTCCTGCTGCTCTCCAAAGCAGAACCCTCACAAAATATGCAGGAGATGGTATGGAAAAGATGGAGGCAGGGTGGGACACATCAGTTAGGTGCTGTTTGTTAAGGTGACAAGGGTTGGGTGGTAGAGGTATCTGCTCCACACAAAGGATGGACAATGAAGGGGAACTGGTGGACTCCTTAGAAGGCTTAATGCACTTGGAAGAACAGCACCTTGATATTAGCATCCTTTTTGTACTTTCCTATGAGAAAGGTGATTCTGATTGCGTGTGTTAACCAGCACAAGTGGTAGTGAAGTGCAAGTGTGGCAGTGATGAGGAATGACTAGCTCCTTAATACATTACACCCTGTGAAGCTGCCTAATCTGTTGTAGGATTTTAATGTAGGAGGAGTTTTGCTTCCTTTCTCCACCACTGTGAATGTGTATGTTCTAAGTGCCATGTGCTACCTTTACATGCAAATAAGTGACACTTAAGCAAACACTAACCAGTGATGATCAATTGGAAGATATCTCTTGCTACTGCGAGCTCTCCTCTGCTTCCCTGTACACCTGGCTCTTGTGCATTTGTAGCTGAGAAACTTTCCTTTGCTCTTGCTAGTGTCAGCAAAGTTCTGCTGGCTTTGAAGGAAGAAGGTGGCTCTTGGCCAGACTAACATCCTATGGGAAGCAAGTCAGATAGGAGAGAGCACACATCAAAGAGGGATCCTATGCAATGCACGATTATCTGTTACAGGATTTCCTTGTTTGCACTGCAGCTGTTTCTTACCTCTTCATTGGTATATCCTCATCAGTTCCTGCAGAGGCATGGATCCTGAGTGAGTTTAAGTCCAAACTGGACTCTTTTTTTTAAAAGGTCACCTTTTTGCAACTCTGCGGAGTAGTGTGTTGACTCGCAGGAGTTTGTAAATCAGAGGTGATGTCTGATTTCTTCAGTTGTCCCAACAAAATACGTGAGCTGGATAAAGTTAAGTCCCCACTCTCTTGGTCTTTCAGTTTGTTTTTGAAATTAATCTTTTTGGTCTTACAGCATGTTCTTGAATAGAATCTTAAAGGAAAACTTGAAAATGTGGATGCTCCTGACCTCAAAGAAAAAAATATGGGAAATGGCTTTATTTCTATATAAGGGAACAGATGAGTTAAGCTCTGTTAGGTCTTTGCCCCATCTTTACAGAACAGCAAGCAAACATACTTGTCTTTAAAAAGATTCACAATACAATGAGGTTTGATAAGATTAAAACAATTGATTTAAATCAGTGAGAAAACTAATTTGAAAATTGATTAGTTATATTTTAAACTTCTTGCCTCAACTCTTCCAAGAAAAGACTCAGCTCACCAAGTGATATCAGCATGCAAATTAAATATATTTAAACAAATTACATCTATATAAAACTTGATATTTCTTGCTAATCAAGAAATTAGTTGTAGCTTTCAAACTGATGTGTTAGTAAAATGTTCGTATTCACATTCCTAGGAATTCCCAGAAACTGTTGCAGGCTGCAACTGTTCAAGCACTGCATTTTCCTTTCTTGACATTTTTATATCAGTGGACCATCTTTATACACTGGCCCACAGCCAGTGCTGCTTGCTAAACAGGGAATGCCTATGTGCTTCTTTTACTGGGTAGTTGAATGCCTGAAATTTCACTGGCATGAACTATGTATAGACACAGAACCCTGCCTCCACAAGACATAATATCTCACCTGCATTGGATGTAAGGCTTCTCTGAAGTGAACATCCCGAACCTGCACTTCCTTTGTGTTTGGGTGCAAGCCTATCATCCATGGAGCTTCCTTTCTGGCAGGCCCCAGAGCACAGGAGCTACGTGTGTCTGGTTTTGTGATGTTCAGCTGATTGAGCCAAATCCACTCTCCTTCCTTCCCCACTTTCTCCTCTTCCCTCCTCCTCCTTTTCCTTCTTTCCCCCCTTCCTTCCTTCCTTGCCCCTTCCTTCCTTCCGTCCCTCCCTCCTTCCTTCCTCCCTCCCTCCCTTTTACCTTTTCCCATGAGTATGTTCTGTCCTATTGAATCTGTATGGGTGTTTCTTCTCCATGCCACCATTTTTCTACTGATTTTGACTCTACCCTAGTATCATTTGGATGAGTGAAAAGAGTGTTTCTGATGAATACTTGAGCTGTATGCATTTCACAAATGAATATCCTTGCTAGTGAGTGGGGTCCTAGCAGGCAAACTATAAGGAAGACGTGTGTTGTCTCAAGACTGAAGGAACACTGACTCTAAATAGTCACTTCTCTAGAAGTGAGTCTATGAAGACAGAGAACAGTTCGGAGTCTCTGAAACAGAACAGTTTGGCACAAAGATCCTAAGCTGATCCTAAGGTCTGGTCAACGTAGAAGCAGAAAGCGCTAAAGCTTAGCTGTGTGCTAAGCACACAGAAAGCACCAAAGTGCAGCTGTGTAGAAGTTTGGCTCTTTCTGAACTGGTTCTGTACACTGTACCTGTATGCTGTACACTGGACCCCAGGGCCCTGAGAAGGAGGTGCTTTCAGTGTAGGGACTCCTGACTTACTTAATTTTGAGATGGGCTGGCATCCGAGGTAGCTGCAACATCCCTTAGAATCATCTGAAGAATTTGGAAACATTGCACACCCTGTGGCACAGTGTTCAGTCTGTGTAAGTCCTGTTTTTTTGCTGCAACTTTCAATTCATGACTCTGCTGATAAACTTTAGCAAGGTACCTGCCTCCTCTTTTCCATTGACTCTGACTGGAAAAATCATGAGGCTGAGGGAAATGCTGAGGAGTATATGACAGTGTTGGACTTTCTTTCGGTTATGAGCTTATGTGGGATTAGGTGAAAATTCTGAGCTGGTTAGACTTTTTTGAAGCTTGTGCTTATGTAAGAAGAGGCTTTCTAAAGCTCCATGTCACTGGAGGTATCACATGCAGAAAGAAGGCCCTTGGATTTCTCTCTGTATCTACTATCATTAATGGTAGCCAGTGACCAGCAACATCCATGCTCTCCTAGCAAGGATTGTGCTTTGCTGTTGGCAGAGAATGTTTTTTCTCCTTTCCCTTTGCACAGGGGAGCTATTCTGCTGTGGAGTAAAAGATGAAAACATCGTATTAGCTCCTCCTGATGGAGCTCCAGAAGCCTCCAGGAATAGTCTCTCGCGCAGAAACTTCTTTTTAGGTGGAATTAAGTGGCATTAGCTCAGATACAGAGTGTGCTTAGGGAAGATGTGTGGAGCGCGGAGCTTTTTACTGTGACCATTGCTGTGGCTCTGATGCTGATCATAATCAGTTAGAAAATCAATCAGCAACAGATCAAATAGATGGGACACTCTAATGAGTCTTGCTCTTCCTTTTCTGTAGGTTAGCTAATCTATCATTTATTTAGGTGGCAGTAAGCACATCCAAACAATGCTAGTGTCATTTGGATCAGGTGATCACACCAGTCAGGTTACCCACCACTATCTAATAAGCTGGTTGCAGCAGGGTAATTATATTTTACCTGCCATAAAATTAGAATGGTGATACCTGATCCTGAATGGGCTCCTCTGGCAAAAAAATGAGTCATAATAATTTCTTAAACGAACATGACCTATTGTAGAGAGCATTTTGTGTAGTGTTGGATTTCTTTTTAACTGACTCGAAATGCTCTGGAGCTCCAATTATTGTATCATTGAACCATGGCTTGGGGCAGATGACCAAAGACCTTTCCTGGTGATCCCCTGCCAGCTGGACAGTCCACTTTCTCTCCTGCACAGCTAGTGTTTCTGTGTGTGTTTTCTCCGTGGAGCTCACGTGGTCACAGCCTTCTGCTCTGTGCTTCTTTCAGTTGGGGTGTGCAGAATTGGAGCTGCAGGCCAGGTGTTCCTTTGCCCAAAGGTCACACCTGTAACAGTGTCTTACCAGGTATCTGCTCCGCTCAGGTCCTGTCCTCACCTCATCTCAAACAATTGCCATTCCCTTTTCCTGTAGGCTGTGTTTTGGAGTGTGTGGTGCTTTGGGAAGGTGCTGCCATGTTTGAGTGCTCTGCCCCTGCTCACCTGGTGCATCCGTGGTGGGTGGCGCTTGCTACCATGGCCGCTTCGAGGGAAAGCCTGACCGTAGCTGTCAGTGTTCAGCAGTGCTGCAGAGACTGAGCCAAAACAGCAAATTTCTCTCAGATGTGGAGAAGTCAGGCACGATGGTCATGGACAGTGGTCTAGTTTGAGGGCCTTCACCATGCCTCAGGTTGCTCTGTAGCATGACAAGAAAGCCTTGATGGCCCAAGAGCTAAAGGACTTAATCTTAGGTCTTTAACTATGAGTATTGACTCGAAAATGAGGTAAGAGTTCCCCTTACTGCAGTGTTTTAGCAATTTTTGGCTCACCGCTGTGTAAGTTTTCATCCCGCTGCTTGCTTGAGCATTGACTGATTATCACAGAGCGGCTGCCAATTTGTTCTCTACATCTTGCTCAGTGTCCCAGTGCTATGGCTGCACTGAGATGTGCAGGACTTCAACAGTAGCACATGAAATATGCTCTGCTGTCTTCCAGAAAACCTGTAATACATTTTCTCCCTTAAAATGTTAAACCTGGCATGCATCTGACTAAGCTATGCGTCTTTCTCTCTTCCCCAACATCCAAGAAAAGCTGCTTTTCAGAATAAAGTATTCTAGATTTTGCTTTTTGTGCAAAGGCATTCAGCCTTAACAGTATTCAAGGAAGGACACTGTGCTGTTTGGCATGCTCCTGGTGGAAAAAGGTAGAAAGGTGGCAGACTAGAGCTCATGTATAGGTGAGGGCTCATTTCACTTGCTTCACAGTGCCATCAGCAATCATGAAAGCTGTGTGGTCCTGCTTTATTTTGGTCTCAGCTGCAGCCCCTGCTGAGGAAAGGGGCAGTGTGACCTATTCTGAGAAATGCTGATTGTGTTTTTTTGTTTGTTTCCAGGGCCCAGTCATTTACGCGCAGTTAGATCACTCCGGCGGACAGCACAGCGACAAGATTAACAAGTCAGAGTCTGTGGTCTATGCTGACATTCGGAAGAACTGAGAGGAGATGCTAACTCATCCAAAGCAAAACACACATTCAGACTGGAATTGCTTGAACAAAATTTGACCCAGAGAACTCACATGTGGCCTTTGATGCCTAGGCTAGGACCAATGCATGTGTATACAGAGGGAAAGATATATATGTATTGTGTGTAAATAGTCTATTTAATCGTACAGAAGTGATACCAGTGTTGCATGTTGAAATGCGATAAGAATTCTGCCTATAAATTGCTGACATTCTTTTTGTATCTTGTATGACGAGAGAGAAAGTGAAAACTCACATCACAATTCTTAAATATTTTTATCTTGATTATTAATGGAGAAACTGGAAGATGCCTGAAGATTCTAGATTGACCTGGAGAGTCTTTTTTTACTTATGGGGCCTAATTTTCCTTGGTGGGGGGGACCCTCACAGATATTGATTTTGCCTTGATCAGGTTCTCAGCTTCTTATATAAACCAGGTGTTTTCACTCAGTGTGGTAAGCCATGCTCTGACTTCTAGCTTTTAGAAATGTTACGTCTTACCGTTGTGAGTGAAGGAAACCTTTAGGCCTATCTGATCTGTGTAATGCAGGTCACAGATTTGTTTACTGTTGTATTGAGCCCATATACTCAAGCTTAGACCTTTACCATACAGGGATAGTGTTGGTCTGTCAGATTTGTGAAATGCTAGTTTACTTGAGAAATCTTAAGAGCTAGAGAGTTACAGAGATAAGAAGCTATAGCTCTATGTCACTGCCTCAGCTTCTGTTGAACCTTTCAGTTAAATGTTTCTTCTGTGAAACTCTGTCATTTCATATAAGCACAAAAAAAGGGCTCCAAGAGATCTTGAAGTTACACAATTCCCTCAGCTCTCACTCCTGGCCCCATTACACCTCTGACCTCCGACAATTCCTTATAGGTGTTTTTTTCTGCAGGCCAAATGACCACTGGAGGAAATCTTCCCCTTTGGATTTTTTTTTTTTGTGGTGTTACTTGTCTTTGCACAGAGGACGTGGAGGACAGTTTCTTTCCTTCCTCTTCGCAAGCCTACTAGTTGAGCATTATTTCCCAGCTTCTTGTTTCTAGAATAAACATAGATTTATAGATTTCTGATCATTCTTTTCTGCTGAAGAGGATCTTTCCTTAGCTGATCTGTTTGTATCCAGAAATCTGGTGCTCAAAACTAGAACTGGCATTCCAGCCAAGGTCTTATAAGAGCAGTGTATAGAAGAAAGATTTCTCTTTTGTACATCCTAATGTGATACTGGCTTTTCTGTGGCAGTAAGTCATGTTCAGTTCGATTTTTATAACCCCTGCTCTCTGCTTCTTACTATTCCCTAGTTCAATCTGTTTGTCTCTACTGAAATTCTGCCATCTTCCATTTGTCAGATGAAAATTTTCTTTGAGTTCTCATCCTGCCCTCCGGTGAGCTTGCAACACTCCTTAGCTTGATATCTGCAAACTTAAGGTTTCATTCCACTGTATTGTCAAGTAAATTAAAAATATTTAGTTTAGGTCCATGGCAAAGCCTTTTGGAATTGCTTTAGATAATTTGACAGTGAAACTTTACTTGTGACAGTGAAACTTTATAACTGTTTTGAGTAAAGTGTGTTTTCTCCCAGCAAAGTTGGGTACACCATGTAGTACTTTGTCAGGATCACTCTGTTTTCTGACAACACCTGCTTTTGTTAAAAGCCTCACTAAAATCAGGATGAGTCCTGCTGCTGCTTTCCCTGTCTAGCAGGCTGTTGCTCCCTAATGTTTTACATTTAACAAGAAACAGAAACTTTGGAGGTGGTCACTTGAAGAACTGCCTTTTGACCTGCACCCTCTTTCTCTCCGGATATTTTTCAGTAAGAGAAATGCGATGAGCTGAACCATCAAAAACCTGCTGCTATGAGAAGACAGGGCTGGCCTCAACTCTGCTGTTGTCTGTTACTTTTATTTTCTTATGCTGGACTATACTGGAGAATCTGAGCACAATCCTGTTACTTCTGGTGCTGACTTTAGGAAACATCTTTCATTGCTTTTGATAAGCTATAGGTACATAAATATAGGCTGTACTGAGGAGGCTCTTTGCAAGGCTCTTTGGATCCTCTTTGTGCAGGTAGAATAACTAGGTAGTATTTTAAAAATGTTTAAACATTCATGTTTAAAACATGAATGATGTTGCTTGGCAGGAATAGACAGCTTTTACAGTGCAGCTGTGAAAGTAACTTATGCGGGTTGAAGTCAAAAAAACTTGAGGCAATATATGACTAAAGCTGTTATGAACTTTCTGTCCCTCTGGGTGCTTTCAGATATGGTAAACATGTGCTGGCAAATGCTGATGCCAACTTGGTTAGTAGGGTCTTATGTGACAGAGGACTTGTGCTTCCTTGATGGCTAGTAGGTAGAGATTAAAGCCAGCCTGCGTCATCAGATCCTGGTGTTACACTGACCAAAAACTTAATTCTGTTACCTTTTTTTCTACTGCTATCATCTTAATTAAAGGGAAGGAGAAGGAAAGTGTTGTGGGCAGGCATGCTGAAGCACAGCTGAATCTTTCTTAAAGGAGTAACAAATGATAAAATTGTTAATGTGAGCAATAACTCTTGGAAAATAGAGTTGGGGAGGGCCAGTGATACCTAAGGTTTTGCAGAGAATTCTTTATTTGTCATGCAGGTTTTAATGCACAGGGACACAAAACCAGCATCAATCTCAAATATGTTTTTTTTCTGCTGTGAGGAAAAAAGGACATTTACACATAAGGCAAACCTTGTAGCCACTGTAGACGATGTGCTGTTTTGGATTCTCACCTGGATTGGATTTGGATTCTGGCTGCTAAGACAACTTGCACATCCTAGAGACAGGAATATAGAAGACATCGTTCGTCTTGCCCTGTCTTCTCCCCTCCAACAGAACTGCAAGGTGGGAAAAAGTTTTATACTGTCAGTACAAAATTCTTCTCTATTCCAGGTTACCAGAAAGTAATGAAATGAACTATAAGGTCTGAATCTGAGTGAATCAGCAGTTGTACATCACAACTCCATTTCCCCTTCTGAATTCAGCAGTTCTGTAGAGGAGGCGATCGCCACGCTCATTAGCGTTATGAACTGTTGCAGGGTAGCAAATGTGTCTCTGTAAATCTCTGTATGATGTGTCATTTCTAACTGGAGACCAGTAGGGTTTTGTTTTCTTTCAAAGCTTTCACGCTATTTCAATTTGCGACCAGAAAAGCTGGAATTATGTTTTTAACTTTTTTAGACCGGTGAGAATTGTTTAGGTAACCATCTGCCTTGTAACTGCAGTAAGTGTGTGTATGCGCCTCAGAAGCTGCTTTCCCTGAAGAGTGGATTCATTGAGGTGAATTGTGGGCTATTTGATTATAATCAAAATACTCTCCGTTTGTTCTGAAATCTTGTCTTGGGATTTTACACTACTCGTATAGCAGCTTAGGACCTCAAATACAAAATGTTCTTATTGTGTACTAGGTGACAGAATTATTTTTCAATCACTGCCAAAGTGAGGTGGGTAACATTTCTGGGCCATGACCACACTCCTGTGGTGCTAATATTTAGATAATATTTTATATGGGATACTGCAAAATCATGATATTAACTACGCTCAGCAATTACGCTCTTTGAGGCTTCTCTCCCTTCTCTTTACTAGCTAACAAACCCTTTTATTTAAAGGTATTTTTGCACTCTCTAAAATGTAAGCTCAATGCCTTTTGAGATCAGCGTGCTGTGCAATCATTCTGTCTCCCTATAACACCAGCTGCTTAATGTGGTAAATACAACTGGAAACTGACCCGATGCTTTTCTTTTTGTAAACCTCTTCTCTTGGGGGTATGGAAGAGAACTAACACCTATAAGATGGGTGTATAATCTGTGTGAGGGAGCTAGATATGCATTGCATGGCCTGATTACACAAAGTGCCCGTGTAGCAACTGTTTGTGCTTTTGCTTTTACAGGCTCATCTCAAAACAGTCATCATGGATATTTTTTCTTGAATTGACTTTAATGTTGGCTTTCATGTTTTTTATTGTAATCTTGTGAATATTTTAAATACACTCTTTTTCCCATTACTGGTTTGCTGGAGAAGTCTCATCTGATTAGGGACCGCAAAGGAAGGGGGACTGAAATACACCTTCACTCTTCCTCATAGTCTTCTTCAGCTGCTGTGGTCACTGTCAGCTCAGCAAACTCCACGCACTGGGAGAGTTCATCATTTGAACTGATACCCAGAATTACCACGTCAGATAGGAGAACTGGCAAATGCAAGTGAAACCACTTAAGGCTGCACCAGAAGCGTGCAGAAAGAGACTGAGCCAGCTTCGTGGACAACATCTGGAAAAGGGCATCTGACAGAGTATCTGGGATATGTTACTGGGATTTGCTTGCTAAGCAAAAACATGTTGCCAGAAGGAAAAAAAAAAAAAAAAACTACTTTCCACTGGATAAGACAACACACCATTATACAAAGGGTAAGGCAGCAAGGACATCTGTGCCATAAGGTGCTGTAGCTCTTGTAAGCATAGAACAGTTTCCTCCCTGCCAGTCACGCTGTTATTCAGTAACTCAAAAGGGATTGTGGGGAAAGCAGGGAGAAGACTTAATGACATGGCAAAACTCCAGTGTTTCACGGCATCCATTTTACTGAATGATGAAGAAGCTACTGTCTCTCACCTGTCTTGCTCTCCTGAATCTAAAGCCCTAAGCTCTGCTACTGGCTTACTTACTTTCAAAGTTGGAAGGAGTCACTGTGACAGTGCAGCAGATGAAGATGATGTGCTCTGAGCACAACTGCCTTTTATTTCTCAGTAACAGGGTTCTTGCAGTGTAATGTATAGGCCTTGAAAATTCCACTTAAGCAAACTGTTAGATGCCCATTTTTACTCTGCCCTCCTTTTTCGGGCAGAGAAGGAGACTTAATAATTCATAAAAAAGAAAAATAATGAAAAAATATGCAAGATGCTGTTTTTACCAGAGCCTGAAGAATTTGTAATGCTTATGCTGAAAGCAAACAGGTAAATCTGAATCTGGTTTGAGATCCTCTCTGTGGTGGCTCATTGCCACCAATGTATTGTGTCCAGTTCTGGGCTCCACAGTACAAGAGGGATGTGGAGCTGCTCAAAGAGTCCAGCACAGGGCTACAGGGATGATCAGGGGCCTGGAACATCTGCCGTATGAGGAGCGGCTGAGGGAGCTGGGCCTGTTCAGCCTAGGGAAGAGAAGGCTGAGAGGGGATCTAATCAGTGTCTATAAGTACCTCAAGGGAGGGAGTGCAGAGGACGGTGATGGTCTCTTTTCAGTGGTGGCCACTGATCGGACTAGAGGAAATGGCCGGAAACTGAAACATCAAAAATTCCATAGGAACTTAAGGAAAAATTTCTTAACAGTGAGGGTGACAGAGCACTGGAACAGGCTGCCCAGAGAGGTTGTGGAGTCTCCTTCTCTGGAGATCTTCAAAAC